TGTGCGGCAAAATATCAAATATGATTCACAAAGACTTGAACGCCATTCAGACGAATGAGTTGATCGGAAGCAAACAGATATCACTTCTCCTGGAGATTAGTACTCAAGTACTTCGGGCGCCGCTCTCATTCCCCCGCCTCTACTTCCAGTCCATTCAGAACACGTGTATTAAACTCGCGGTCTCTCCGCAGCCCAAGTCCGGAGATCTGCTTCTAATCAATAGTAACACACATTTCGCGCTTCGCATCGAAGGCGTTGTCGTCAACATTAAGCACCAGAAACTGATCCGAAACGTGGGAAAGGTTTTGATTTGCGTCAACGGAGTGCTCATCTCCCGGTCCAACACCAACGCTACTGACCTGCCGTTGAAGAGCAACGACACCAATGTGTCCCTGCAGTCCGTCGTCTATCCGTTGAACGACTACTTTCAGGTCCAGTTCCTACTGTCGCTGCCGGTCGTGGGCTTGTATTCCATAAACATCGAGACCTCTATTATCGACGAGAATGAGGCCCAATGGAAGACTGGACCCAACCTTTCAATATCCGCTAAAGTCATTGAAGATTCGGCCGCAAAGTGATTACATTTTGTCACACATCTCATCAAATCAGTGACTCGTTTAGTGATTCATTAATTGACATTTTTGGTAATTATTATTAACTAATCATTTGTTTTAAATACGATATAAAATTCTTATAAGTCTTGAAATATATGAATAAAGAAAATGGATTTCAATATCGATTTGATTGCAATCATAGCATCAATTTATTCAACTTATTTATAAACAGAGAAATATGAAAAGTGACAAAAAATTGTTTTTATGAATTCCTTATAATATTAAAGATTTGTTTTTTAAATTAATTATATTAAGAATTTGTTTAGATTTTTAAAAACTAAACTCTATTTCAATTGATTCGTTTTGTTACAAATAAACTAAAATTTTTAAATTAAAATAATAGCAGACTTAGTGCCGAACCAAAAACAATTAGTTTAAAAGTGTTTGTCATTTGTCGCTTACAAATGCTAAACACCGACCGATTCGACAGCATATTAAAAAAGAGGTAAAACATTGTTTTGTTTGAATGCATTTACTTTACATAAGTTATACAATTAATTAATTAATTTTAAAAAATGCGATTTTTTCACTCATTTTGATGGCATTTCTATCGAAAGGAGCGTTTCGACAGAATATTCAATAATAATAATAATAATAATTAATACGAAACTGTAAGTAGTGTTGAATAGAGTGAGAGACAAACCGATATGACTGTCCTGTCGTCTCACGTCTCGGAAACGACAAGAATTGGAACAAAATTATTATTATTATTATTATTAATTAATATAATTATTATTAATTATAAATCACTAATCATTGCACTAATCAATCATTTTTCAAATAGTATTTTCTCATAATTACAGTCAATTGGAAGACCAACTTTTCAATTGGAAACACTTGTAGTAATTCTTGAGTTGATCTCAAAATATAAATAATTTATATATAATTCTAAATCAGGAGTCCATCCATTCATTCATTCAACAAACGGTAACAGTAGAGCAAAAAAACGGCTGACACTTAATGGCTGAGCATTTTCTGAACGACATGTGCTGTCATTTAGAGTTTGTTTTTCAATTCGTTATCAATCGCTGCGGAGACAAACACCACTCGTTTATTATCGCAACAAAAATGTTATGTACAGTGAATGCACAGGTAGTAGTGGGCCGGTGTGGGGGTCCTAGCGGTGGTGAGCGGGTGTGTGTGGGGACGGGCGGTGGCTAGAGGGCGGTGTGCGTGAAAGACGTGGCACTATTACTATGAGCTAATGAGAGCAGCGAACCGCTCACTGAAGCCTCGTCTTCGCCCATACACTCGATGGACGCCTCGGCGATCGCCAACGCGTTGAACCCCTGGCGAGTGCTCTCCATGTCGAACGTCTCCGTCTCGTGCGCCTGACGTTCCAGTAGTAGACGCTGTCTCTCATTCCTCTCGTCCTGGAACTGCTGTTTCTCCAGTTCCATCTGAATTGGCAAACAATGTGTCACTCAATTGGTCACCAAAACCACAACTACTCTCATATCATACCTTCTTCTCGAGCAATGACTGTCTGACGGACACCCGTTCCTCGAGCTCTCGTCTCTCTTTAGTTCTCTGGGCCTCGGATTGCATCCGAATCTTACTTTGGAAAGCAATCAAAAGCTCTAATTCTTGTTGCAATTGCTCTTTGAGTTGACGCTCTTCGAGCTCTTGGGCCTCATCTAAACGTATCTATAATTCCGCAAACAATTCATACCATTAATAGTCGGCAATTGACACAAATGTGAGGCCAAACAAACCGATTGTTTTTGAAGCATTTCCGCAATGCTTTGTTCGTATTGCTCGCCCAGAAGAGCCAGTTTGCGGACCTGTTCTTCCTTTAACTTCTTAATCACATTCTTTTGTTCATCCTTTGGAGTAGAGCTCAGGATTTGAGATTTCCACGCCTTATACTACAACACAAATGCAAACCAAATGAGACATTAGCCGTGAACTGCACACAAATCGCTGACACAAAACAACAATACCTGAAGTGTCTGTGTTTTACACGTCTCTCGAAACTGTTTGCGAATCTGGAGCTCCTTTTGCTTAAGACTTTTGGGCTGTTGTTTCACTTCGAGCGCGTGTTTCTTCCTGAGCTCGTTTTCGCGCTTAAGATTGTACTCCTGTTGGTTGGCCAGCTCTGTCTGATGCTGTTTGCGGATCTGCTCGTCCCTCAACTGGTGGACAGCGCGCTGTTGCCGGTACTCCAGCTCCTGCGTGATCTCGTGGTGCCTCAGGAGCATGGAGTGGGCCATCTCTAACTGACTCTGGCGTTTGTTGAGCTCATCGCGCAGCAGATCCCGCTCCAGCTGATGGTATTGTATAAGTTTACGTCTCCTAAATTTGCGCACTTCCTGCCGGTGGTACTCCTGGTGCTCGTGCTGTAGCCTCTCGAGCGCCGACGCCTGACTCCTCTGCAGACTCTCCTTCTGGTTCTTCAAAGACGTGGAATCGTTGCTGAGTTCGCGCTTTAACCTCTCCTTCACGTACTTGTATTCGTGTTTCTGTTGCAATTGAAATCTCTTCAGCTCCTCCTCGTGCTGCTGGAGAATGGCTTTACTGAGTTTGCGTTCGTACGCCACGTTTGTCTTCAACTAGAGTTTCACACATAAACTAAACATTTAGTTCCCGTAGAACACTAACCAAACCAATCGACAGGTGCGGGACATACCTTCCTTTCCAACTCCTGCTGATGTTTTATTTGTAATTTTTCTAATTCTTTGCTAAATTGTTGTAATAAAGTCTCGTATTCTTTATCTAATCTCTGTTTGTGTTCTTCGATCTCTTGGCGACACTTGGCCTCCAACTGGACGATCGCCTTCTGGTGATGTCGTCGCATACGCTTATATCCGGACATCTGTTCGTGCATTTGGTTCTCCTTCGCGTGCTCTTTGAGTTGTCGCGTGACGATGGAAGTGGTGCGCAGAGTCGCGAAGTTATTGGCACCCAATTCGGTACTATTCAGACTCGCGGACGAGTTCTGCCACACAATCGTCACAAAAATCAATCACTTATTTCCACACAAAACAAACAATTAAGACAAGTCTTACCGAAGGACTGACACGATTGCCACTGCAGGCGCTCTCTCTCCTCAAAGAAACCGGACATTTGTAAGTAGAGTCGCCCTCGGAATTCGCGGGCAAACTACTTGTGCTACTACTTTGACTGCCGGCGCTAATGCCACCGCTTTGGCGACTGTGAGAACTCGCGACGGAATTGCTTTTACTATTATTGGCCACCAATTCGTCTTCCTATTCACGCAAACACACCAATCGTTAGTGAAAACAAACGCAAATCAAAACCCAAGACACCACTGACGGGTATATCGTTGTCCACGTCGTGCGCGTGTGAGTGTATTAAGTCGTTGTCTCGCGAGTCAACCATCAGGATCTTCTTCATCTTCCTATAGTTCAAATTGTCTAACTCTCGGACCGCGGCCTTCGTCCTACTGATCAGATCGATGATCACAGTCGGAGATCGCGTACGGGTTATGAAACTATGCTGTAAAGTGAATCGTGCGCTCAATTAATACAACAAATTCCCATTGGATTCAATCAACAAAATCAATTACTCTTAAAATATTGGTAGAGTTCGGCCGATCCGACGGATTCTTGCGGAGACACGTCTCGACAAAGTTGCGGAACAAATCGGTCCAATCGCCCGATGGGTTCAGAATGGGTGAGTCGTTCTGCGCGATGTGGTATAAGGCACTCATGGCATTCATATTAAAATACGGGGGCTTCCGCTCCGCCAGCTCTATGCACGTGATGCCCAGCGACCACACGTCCACCTTTCCGTCGTACTGGCCCTCATCCATGGCCAGTATCACTTCGGGCGCCATCCAATAGGGTGTGCCCACGAACGAGTTGGCCGGACAGCCCATGGACGCCGAGCCAAAGTCGGCCAACTTTACGGTTCCGTTTTCGGTGAGCAATATATTGCCGGCTTTCACGTCGCGATGGATGCGCGCCTGGGAGTGGAGGTACTCGAGGCCGTTGAGGGCGTCGTTACATATGGCAGAGATCTCGTCCTCTCGTAACGGCTTCTTATGCACTGAAAACACAACACATTTATTGCATATTATAATCACATTTAACGCGACAATCAAATGCTTTCCAAATATACCTTCGATTATATCGGAAGCGGATCCCAAGCAGTACTCCATGACGAGCCACGCCGTGTGCTCCTTCAGGTAACAGCCCTTGTATTCAATAGTGTTTTTGTGCCTTAAATTCCTGAGAAATTTGACTTCTTTGAGGATATCCTGCCATTTCTGGTCAACAAAACAGACAATATTGTCGCACAACTTGTCCACTCATCACAACAAATCAATTGCAAACCTCAGCCGACTGTTTGCCAGTGAATGACATCTTTTTGATGGCAACCACTTCTTTGGTGTTCGCATATCGGGCCTAAAGGGGTGGACAGACACACGTAAGACACTGACAATGGGGTGAAGAGGTATGGGATGTCATACATAATAGACGGCGCCGAAGCTCCCGTGTCCTATCTCTCGCAGATCGGTGAAGATCTTGTCGGGATCTTCTTTGTCGAACAGCAGCGACACTTCGGGATCTCGAAGATTCCCGACCCTGAATGCCATTGCAAGCCGTGGTTACAGACAAGTGCTTTGTTATGTGATTATTAATGCAAACCTCGGGTACGAAGGCATGACTTAAATGTATGTGATTTGAGAGTTGAGGCGATTATTACGACAAATGCCTCAAAACACACAAAACCGGTCGTCTATTATCACTAAAACGTGCGCTCAATCAGCGCTCGCACCACATCCCTGGCCGCTCGTGGCAATGGATTTCTGTTGGGAACGCCGTTTAATTGCATTAGTATTGCCATTAACACCGGTATATGAGATAACATGCGATTTGTCCGCAAATGTAAACAATGAGTGACTTATCAAAACATTGAAACAATTAGTGCCACAGTGTATGGCATTCGCCAAATGATTGTCACCCTAATTGGTGCCTAATCACCGCAAATGCATAAGCAATCGCATCCCGTGCATAACACACGAAATGGTGGCAATACTCGCTCCGCAGACAATCATTGGCTCATTGGGTTCAATGGTTTTGATGGTGACATCGATAGACATCACTGGGAAGTCATCACTGGTTTGGCAGCCAATCGCTAGCAACTGACAGCCACTGGGCTCACAGTGCGGACACCGTTTGAGCCAGTGTTCGGTCACACGGTGGTGGTGGTCATGCTTACCATGAGAGCGTGCGGTGGTGTCATTGTGTGCACATCTGTGGAGGCTGTGAGTCGTGTATAGCTATCGCACAGACATTGACTGATAACAAGATGGCTGAATCAAAACACACAAAACCGGTCGTCTATTATCACTAAAACGTGCGCTCAATCAGCGCTCGCACCACATCCCTGGCCGCTCGTGGCAATGGATTTCTGTTGGGAACGCCGTTTAATTGCATTAGTATTGTCATAAACACTGGTATATGAGATAACATGCGATTTGTCCGCAAATGTAAACAATGAGTGACTTATCAAAACATTGAGACAATTAGTGCCACAGTGTATGGCATTCGCCAAATGATTGTCACCCTAATTGGTGTCTAATCACCGCAAATGCATAAGCAATCACATCCCGTGCCTAAGACACAAAATGGTGGCAATACTCGCTCCGCAGACAATCATTGGCTCATTGGGTTCAATGGTTTTGATGGTGACATCGATAGACATCACTGGGAAGTCATCACTGGTTTGGCAGCCAATCGCTGGCAACTGACAGCCACTGGGCTCACAGTGCGGACACCGTTTCAGCCAGTGTCAGGTCACACGGTGGTGGTGGTCATGCTTACCATGAGAGCGTGCGGTGGTGTCATTGTGTGCACATCTGTGGAGGCTGTGAGTCGTGTATAGCTATCGCACAGACATTGACTGATAACAAGATGGCTGACAGTGTCTGCCAATGGATGCACACAAACACAGCAAACATGAAACACATTCATTGGAGACTCAATGCATTCATTCACTCATTCACTGCCAGTCACTGCACACATACTGTATTGAACGCAATGCTAATGCAATGCGATAGCCATACAGACAGCTATTCCTATCGCACATACTATTTATGCAATCATTTGTCAATTTCTCGCAACTCTTGTAATACATCATTGAATGCATCTTATGGTGAATTAATGAGTCCTTTCATACACTCAATGATACACTTCTTAGTGATACTATAATCGGTGCCATAGGTGTAGCCGTAGTATAGATATGGATATTAGTTGCAAATTGTCATGCTAAGTTTGCTAATATTCACTTAATTTGTTTATAAAAAAAACTATTGATTGGAAAAATTGAAATTGTAATTGATGATAAAAAGTGATACAACTTATCAATTTCTATGAAAATATTGGTTTACTATCAATATTAATCGCTGTATTTTATCATGATCACTTTTTAAATAGTAGAATATACCGGCATAATTATCATGACTTTTGGAAACAAATACAGTACCCATTTAAATAACAAAAATATAATATAATTTAACCAAAACACATTATACTTAACTTGAAAAGGGTATTAAATATTGTTTGTAATAATAAAAGTTGTCATGCTAAATTTATTCTATTAAACTTAATCTACATTACTATTAAGTATGAATATTCTAACATTTGGTTAATAGCCCACATAAATAGATACAGTGTGTATATTGTATGCTAAAAGATAGACTCGAATAATGTGAATACGTGAATAATAATTAGTAATTTGACCAGTGTCACTATAACATAAGTGTACAGTATGTAGTGTACAGTATGTAGTCTATAACTATAGTGTAGTCATGAATTGAATGAATCAAATGGAGTGATAGCTGTCTAATGAATGCATTCGCGAGTGAATGGAGTAATGAGTGGTGACTGACAGCCACACACACTGTATGACTGTATGCCTGTATTGCATGCAGTGTTTGCATCCAATCAGATGTTATGACGAGTCATAAGCTCACGAATGTATCACTCATTCAATGCATTTGTGTTTACGTTTTGAATGACTTATGATTTGTTGATTGCATTGAGTTTAGGATCGCATCCAGAGGTCACTCATTGGACACACATTTGATTAGTTTTAGGACAACACCGACACCACCGAAGTAACCAATGGCCGCATATCAGACACTACTGCAGGACTATATGGCGATGCCTGCCGTCACCCGCGTCTACACCACCGCCTGCGTCCTCACGACCGTCGCTGTCGTATGTCTTAAGACAATGATTACATTGTCACCCATTGTGTGAACCACTCACTCATGCCCTGTGTCTCCATTGACAGCAACTGGACATCGTATCGCCGTTTCAGTTGTACTTCAATCCGATTCTTATTTTCCGCAATTATCAGGTCTGCCATCGCTTCCCACTGCCATTCAATTGTCTTTACCACTCATTTAACGCCTAATTGTTGTGTCATTTGTGCGGACAGTTGTGGCGTCTGTTGACCACATTCTTGTTCTTCGGCTCGTTTGGGTTCACCTTCTTATTCAACCTGATCTTCACGTACCGCTACTGCCGGATGTTAGAAGAGGGCTCTTTCAGGTCCAGAACCGCCGACTTCTTCTACATGTTCCTCATTGGAGCCATTCTTATGATTGTATGCATGCGTTGACACCGCCATTGACGCCACGCTCTCAACACAAAACACTAACCATTTGTTGATCACCCGTTCAGATCATCGCGTTCTTCGTGAACCTGCTATTCCTGGGCCACGCCTTCACCATAATGTTGGTCTACGTGTGGAGCCGTCGCAACCCATACGTGCGGATGAACTTCTTCGGTCTCCTCAACTTCCAGGCGCCGTACTTGCCGTGGGTTCTGCTCGCCTTCTCCCTACTGCTCGGAAACGCCATTTTAGTCGATCTCATGGGTATAGCGGTCGGACATATCTACTACTTCTTGGAGGACGTGTTCCCCAACCAGAGGGGAGGCTTCCGGATCTTAGAGACGCCAACTTTTATGTCAGTATCGCATATACGCTGCGTTTGTACAGCCATTTGAGTCGCTTCTCTAATACGATGTTATTGTTACAGAAAATACTTATTTGACTTTCAAACCAACGAACCCAATGAGGAGAGGCCCGAGAGATTCAACTTCGACGACAACAACCAAAATCAGCAATAATTACGGCATAACTGCTAACGATTTGTTAATTTGTTTTGTTTTTCATACAAAAACTGGTCAATCAATACATTCATTACTTTATAATGATTTTCGGATTTTGCGTTTACGAGACAATGTTTGTCATGAATATGATTTTCACTCTCTATTTTTCACATTTTTAATTTGAAATATGTTTTTTTGTTTAATTTATTTAAGTTTAACTTAAAATGATATAAAATAATACTAATAAATACAGAGATATATGATAAATGTTAGGAAAAAAGCAAAAATCATTGTATGGGTTTCGGCGTAATGGGAATGAGTGGTGAAAAACACACGGAGTCTACGAAGCGGTTTGCATTTTGTAGGCGTAGAACAGCTCCAGAGGTCTGTTGACTCTCCAGTACTTGTCGTTGATCTGGTAGAGAGTCATGGGTCCGACGAGGGGCTGGTACTGTCCGGGACCGGCCGCCACGTATATAGTGAACAGCGACGCCTCGCTGGACGTCTCCTTCACGTCCTGTTGTGACGTACCGTTAGAGCAGTCGAGGATGTGTCGCATCGATAGGTATTTGACTAAATGGTCGACCGATGCGTTGGTCGTCGTCTTGATATAACGGGTCTGCGTTAGCGTCAAGTCCTGGTCCTCCATCTGATGCGGCAATGGTTTGAACACGAGTTCAATCTCGTGAAAGATCGGCAAATGCGAGGCAACCGACGAGGAGCTCGATATATCCATGAGTGGAGTGCTGGCGGCCGACCGCTCAGAGTCCGCGCCCTCCGTCTCGTCGCCGTCCTTCTCGTGAGCGGAGCCGCAGTTCGAGTCGTTTTCAGACATTTTCAGGTATTTCTTCCGCATTTGCGTCAATGGAGTCGAGTCTCCGCTCAACGATTGCGGCGAATCTATCGGTCATTAATACAAACAAAACAATTAGTTTACGGAACACGAGGGGAACGGGAGAGGGGAGGTGGGGGTGTGTGAGAGTGAGCGGAATGGGAGGAGTAGTCTATACCGGGTCTGTCGATGCCGTCTTCGTTGAACTTCTTGATCCGTTGCGCTCTGTTGAGCGATTGGATACGAAGGCTCTCCTCGATGTTGTTGACGAAGTTCTGTGAGTGATGTTTGTTGAGCTTCGCTAACACCCGCTCCTGATGGGCCTCATACTCGTCACGGGACGGGTAGATCTTGGAGATCAACATATCGAAGTTGGGGTCGTGTCGGAGGCTGCGTTTGGAGATGAGTTTCTTGCGACACGTCGGGCACTCTTTGTTGCCACTCCTGAGTGCAGTGATGATACACTCCTGACAGAAGCGGTGCAGACACTCCTTCGTAGTCATCGTGCACTTCAACATATCCAGACATATCGGACACATGAGCTCCGAGTGCAGACTCCGCGGCGACACCGCTATCTCCGTCGTGTCCGTCACCACGTCTTGTGGCGTCCGGTGCAGCTCATAGAGAGACAGTTCCCACGTCTTGCCGGTCACCACCGACTCGGCGGTCGTCGACAATGCCTGCAATCAATTCATGCAACCGTTTGGTCAGTCAGTCATCCAATTCAGTGCCGATTGTCATTCACAATAGGCTTACCATAGTGTCCGTCAAGTGGTGTCCACCCAACGATGGCTACAATGAGTGGTGAGTCGGTGTGCAGACACGACAACTGCTATCTTCGGCACTGAAGACACAATCAAATCAATGAATGCATTGAATGCCAGAAAAACGCTGTCTTTATTGAAAACATTGATTTAGGGGTCGATTAGACATTACAGTCGCAGACATGGCATAGACTCCAGGCTTGACTCCCTATCGCACCACTCAGTCATTCAAATCCAATCTGTGCTCCAAATCTGTATTCAAATCTTTGATTGGATTTCTTTTTTCATAACTTAATTAAAACTCAGATATTTATATATTTAGCGGTTTTTCTGTATGTTTTAGGAAATGGCATTTCATTAAATTTGGTGAATAAGTACTTTATTTTGTAGTGAATTGTAATGTAACGCCTGAATGGAGATAACAAAAGCAGAAATGAATTGCAATTTTGCGCACATTTGCATAAATTTAGGCTATAATTAGATTTTCATATTTGCGATCATTAAAGAAATCTTGACTCTAACTCTCATTAATAGTTTGACCAACAATTTGATTGTATAGAAAATACATTTCGTATAAATCTAAAGCTTTTAGTGCCTGAACGCCAAAAGTTGTGTCAAAAAGTGCTTAAAAATAAATCGCTTCAGAAATATGAAAAACTTTTTTAAGCGCTTTCGCGACAATAATTAGTGTGTATTCTGTATGCGATATAAGACTTAATGACTCTTTGGAACAAAGATTCTTAACTTCTTTGCTAAGGAAGAGGAGGGGATCTGTAGCCGAAGAGGAGGTCCTTAGACAATGACATAATAGGCGAGCGGTTGGTATAGTGAGGGCACACTCGGAGTGGTGGTTGACTAGTGACAGATCAAAGTTAGCTTCTCTACGCTCTGTGTGCCGGTCTCTCTCTCACACACAAAACTACCCTCTCGTCTATCGCTATACTACTTGTCCAACGACTGAGCAGTTGTGGCATTCATTGAGGAGTTTGTGTTTGAAAAGTTTGAATCGGAAAAAAAGTTGTGCTTTTCTATTCACGTATAGTAATATGTATTTTGAATGAGTGTTTGTGCGCTAAAAGAAGATTCAATTGACTCGTGCTATCGATGTGTTGATTGGAAACCGTATTCCGTTTGATAACTAATGAATCAATAAGTTTCGAAATATGAGTAACATTTGGACTAAAACTATGGAAAACAATAGACTCTGTACTGAACTGATTGTGGGATTCATTCTTCTATATTATGCGACGCTTTCCTATGGAGTGATCGAAGAGAGAGGTAAGTCTGAAGGGAGAGTCCTATGGAGTGGTAGGGCTTTCTTAGGTCTTTCTTTCTCACGAAGCGCTGGTAGTGTTGTTACGGTTGCCTTAACCCGCAAATTGCGTTCCGCTCTAACGATATAAGACTCACACAATATATACAGACACCAGCGCTGGTATATACCAGTGCTGTTGAGGTCATTGTGTGCCCATAGAGTCATACATATCATGCTATTTGCCATAAGAAGAAACACTTTCCATCTCTTCATATCTCGAGCCCACTATTTATGAACAAAACTATTATTTTTTGCTGTCATTTATTTTACTCTTATATAATACACACTCGCGATACACACACTCACTGTATACCTGTATACCTGTTACTATATTTTCAATTATATTCTCAATTCTGAGTGCAATGTTACACATATTGAAGACATTTTTCTTTTTACTCCTTATTATCATATCGCAGATTATGTGAAACTTTTTTCTCGCTTACAATTTATTTATATATTTTATGGCAATCTTTGTTTTCGTAATATTCTGGTAGACGTATAGATATGTTGTGTAATAATAAACAATAGCTTTTCTGTACGGAAAAGCAGAGTTCACACAAACACAGGCGAACTCACGTCTAAAAGCTGGTGTCAGTCAAGAACTCCTACCCCACCGGCCCCTACCATCCCCTCCACACTCTACTCTTTATTTGCATTTTTATTTACGAAGACAAATGAGCAGACAATGAGAGGGCAGTTATGTTTGCCTTATGCCGAGAGGGAGTAGTGAACACCAAAAACCTATCACTGATTAACAAACAACTTTTTTAAACACTTCTCACTCAATCCGATCGACACAACGCAGTCCGATATGTTTAGCTATCAATGTATTTCTCATGTATTTCTTACATTTCTAAACTTCTGGGTTTTATTACTTCTTAAAGACTTTAAAGTTAGAGCGAAAAACAGTGAAACTCTATTTGGTTTTGTGTGTCATTTGAATCCATGGGAATATTTTTCGCTAAACTGACCAGAAAAGAGACACATAGTGTGTATGACTATCCCATAGAATCCTAGTGTCAGCTCATGTTTAGCAATAAGTTTTACATTTGCTTGGCATTTGTATTCAAATTTCAAGAATATTTATTGAAACCAAACTTACAAAATAAATAACAGCACATAATATAAACAATTAATCGATTCCCTAGCCGTACGTACAGTGAGTAATATCACAACTGTCTGCCATATTATGGCAATGGGTTTGACAGCGAAGACATTGATTGCATGGGGAGCGCGACTATCATTATAACTAACGACAGGACATTCATATCATTCATAATATGCAAGACATCAGGCTATTTTTGAATCTTTACGATTGGCATTCATAGAGGCAGCTTAAAAAACAAACAAACAGACACTGGTAATATAAATTGTGTCTTCGGAGTCGTGGCAATGAATGCCAAAATGCGGGCACAAGTGCTAAAAAAGGCCTGAAGTGAGTGGTGAAGATCTCTCTCTCTCTCTCTCTCTCGCTCTCTCTCTCGCGCGGAGCATATGTTTTATACGCGAGTGTGTAATGTATGGCACATCCGATGTCTTTTCAAACTCTCTCTCAACACAATAGTCTCCAGCGTTTGAAAACCTAAATCTGTTCTCAGCGTTAGATTAGCTTTCCTTACGTTCGCCTTAAACTTATTCTAAGGTCTATCCCATGGATCAAACTTTCCCACGCGTTGCCCCCCTTCTCCCCTACCAGTGCCCTATTTGTTGGATAGCCTGCAAATGTTGCGTTCACCAAAAGTTTTCTATCACTTTTTTCTTGCTTATCGGCAAAAAATTATAAAATCAGGAAAATTGTCACAATATATAAATCCTTTGTGAACAGTTGTGAAACGTTTTTTTGTATATAGTTTAATGATATCACCGGTAATTGCTTAATAAACCCTGAAAATCAATGAGTTATTCAACAGTAAATCTATCGTCGATTTCATTGATAAAACTCCGAAAGGGATGGGAGCTATGAATTAATTTCCAATTAACTACATGTCGGTCACCGATAATAACAGTAATATGTATCGACTAAGAAAATTGTGTTTTTCTCGCAAAATTTAATAATACAGTCTCACCGGCGAATAATACTGTAATTTATAATCAAACAATTATTTTGATATCAATTTTTACTTATATATCGGGCGGGAATCGGCAATAAAATGAATATTCAACAGAAACTTTTATATATATTTCTTAAGGCATTATATCATATTCGCGTGTTATTCATAACACATATTAATAATAGTTAGCATTAAATCTGTGTCTCCAAACTAAATGACAGCGTTTCCTGTCTTATGGAAGGACTTCTCAACGCCTCAAACGTTGGGCTTCTCTCTCGCCATTTATAACATATAAAATATATTTAGATATTTTTGTGTTGGAGAACCGGAAATGAACAAGGCTTCCAGTAACAAATATATACTGCATATATATATTCTATGCAATTAGACAAAGATGCCCCCACTTCAGCTGTGGCATCCCAAACATAGATTAATCAACTTTTACCTCATTATGTGTCTATGGGACAGCACTTCATAAATTTTGGGCATTTACATTTTTAACCCACTAATGTAGTATCCAGTGTACTATGTATGTAGAAATTATAGACGAGTTTTTCGAAAGTATGTAAATTTGAATATAAGTTATTCTTTGCAAGTGTTTGAAAATTATAATAGAAAGCGAAAAGAAAGAAATTTTTATGGGTCTTGAAAATGACTTTAAGAAAGAGAGTAATCTGTCTTTTCTTAAAAGAAACTACAATTCTTTGTTAGACTATTAGACAAAAGTAGAAAATATTTTTGCTTGGAATATAAATATATTTTTAGCAAACTTTATAATAATATAAATAATAATAAATAGAAATACACGTTAATACTATAATTATTTATTTGTGTTATAGTAATACTATTAATTATAAAATTCAAAAATTTATTTAGCAATTAGAATTTTGTTTAGCATAGTGTTAAATATTTATTTTTTGTCTGCCAATTAATAAACATTAAATAATAAGAAACAAATAAATAAATGTGTAATAAATATAAAACTTGTGTTTTATCTAAAAATGTTAACATATTTTCATAATAAACTCATTATATTAGTAACGCCTTCATTACAATCACAGGATTTCATTATAAATTTAATATTATATTAATGTTGACTAATCATTGCTTATATAGTTTTAATCAACGTTTTGCGATATAATTATTGTTATTGTTTGCACTTTTGATAGTTTTATTGACAACCTTTCCGATAAAGAAAATGTATTATAAAGTGCTGCATACAGTATTGTATTGTATGTGCAATGAGTTGACATAATTTATAAATAGTTAAAATTTATTTTAATTCTGAGCATAATTTTTATTTAAAATGACTGAAAACTTACAAATTATATACTTGTATATATTATACAACACATTGTATACAACACTTATTTAGCTTATTTATGAAATTATACAGTATTATAGTATGAGTAGAACAATAGGAACGGTAGGAATAGTAGTATTATTTATTGGGTCAGTGATGTGTGCAGTGATATAGCAAAAGAGGTAAATGACATTCACACTGTACACCTGTTTTTGACCATTTCTATGAAACCAAAAGTACAATATATATACAATATATGCAAAAGTAAATAAACTTTTTCTGCGAATGAGTCAAATAGGAGCTGGGTCCGTTTGACTTCAATATGATTTCCTATAGAAGCCACCCCCTACTCACCCCAACCCCATACAAAAGGGAAAGAAGGTCAGAGAGCCGGACAAATAGGAAAAGTACATAATAAGACTATAGGGACTTGATTTAAAAGTCCAATTGTATGGTCGCCCACTTG